GGAAAACTGAACTCATTTCCTCGCAGCAAAGAGAAAGCTGCTGGGAGGACACGCCAGGGAGAGACCCCGCGCGAACCGAGGGGAGGGCAGGCGGGCACAGCTCCCTGCCGGCGGCGGTACCTGTTGTAGGGGGTCCGGAGGAGCAGGGCCTGACTGCCCGTGCAGCTGTCCGTGGGGGTGTGACAGCCGTAGACCGGGGGAGGCACCGAGTACTGCTGGTCCCCTGCAGAGGAAGGGGGAGAGAGTTAGCCCCCGCCGCGCCCTGCGCTGGGGCAGCCCAGGCTCTGAGCCGGGCCCCGGCAGCGGCGCCTGGAATTACCTAGCGAGGTTTGCTGGCTGATGGGGTCCTCGTGTTTGAAAGAGTGGTTTGTAAACTGTGCGGCGTGGTGAGACGGCGTGTGGCCGTAGCTCGGAGTCCCATCGAAAGCCACGGTGCTGTAACCTGCCGGAGAGAGCACAGCGGGGTTAGGGGGGTCACGGGCTGCCCGGCCCAGAGCTCGCCGCCAGCCTCCCTCCCGCAGGGCGGCTCCACGCCGGCGTCGAGCATGAGGCGCCGCCGCGGGCTGCCCCAGCTCCACGCCCCGGTGCTGCTGAGCACGGCGGGGGAAAAGCCGTGGCGAGGGTTTTGCCCTTCCTCTGCGCTCCCCGGTACCCGCCGGGACCGCACTCGGGGGGCTGCGGGCGCGGGGGGAGCCGGGGGGCGCGGGGCGGCCCCGCGGGAGAGGCGGATCGGGCAGCCCGCTCCGAGGGGCGGACAGTCGGAAGTCTCGGTCGTGTTTAAAGAGAACAGATCGGCTTCGGTAATAAAAAGGATGTTTTCATTAATTGTTGCTCATATTAAAGAGGAAGATTCCCATCTGCTCTGTGTACTCCTCTGCCGTTTCCAATTTAGAAGTTACCCTTTAATCTCTCTCTCTCTTTTTTAAGAGCAGCTTTCTGAAGAGTCTGCAATAAAGAGGCGGAATGTTACATGCAAAAATAAAACTCCTCCTTTCAGCGAAAATTGCTCTCCAAAATAATAAACAGCCTATTTTGTTTCCTACGCCGAGCAGATTCAGATGGAAAGAGACCACCTCTGCTGACCCCGGGCCGACACGAAATCGTAAATCAGGTGCTTGGACACCAACTTTCATTAATGACTTGGAGCTGGCTAAACAACTTCAGCTAAAAAAGTAATTACAAAGTAATATTATCTCAGAGGCTTCTCGGCTCGTCAGCATTTACCCCGAGCAGCCGAGCTCCTCCGAGAGCTGCTCTTCCAAAAAAACAAACCAAAACAAAAAGCCCAGCGCGGGCTGGGAAAACAACCCAAACCAAGCTCCTCGCTCGCAGCCGGCTTCTTGCAGCACGGGCATCCTCTGCAGCCCCGCCTGGCAGCAGCGGGGGGCCGGGATACGGCTGCGTTGGCTGCTACGGGGGTGCTCGGCGCTGTGCCCGCCGCAGATAGCTAACCACAGGGGCTTTGCCGAGACACCGAAGTGGGGAGGCAGCAAAGGGAGCCAGCCGATTGTGGCTTCTCCGTTTTATTATTTATTATCCTGCGACATTACAGGGTTTAATTAACCTGCGGAATTGCGCAGGAGAAATGAAGGGAGCGATGGGGAGGAAAAACAAAAACAAAAGAAAACAAACAAACAAAACAACAACAATAAACAACCTGAAGACTTTGTAACCTTCACCTTTGCGATGATCTTAAGCTGGCCCTAGCACTCTGGGACCGGGGCAGAAGCGGGCTCACCCTCTCGTAGCCCAGGCTATCACCCATGCCCCTGCCCTAGGAGCAGAGCAGAGCGACTTTCGCGGCGATGCAAGCAGCGTTGACAGGCCGGTACCTCACGGACTCCCATCCCACAGCTGTTTCTCGCTCCTTATCTCCTCCCTTAGCCCTCAGGGTAGAGACTCAACCTTCAACTCCCTTTTCCCCTTTTCCTTTTTTTTTTTTTTTTTTTTAAATAGTAAAAAAAAAAAAATCTTTCAGAAAACACTGACACTTTCTACACTACTTTTGGCCCGGTGCAGACTTTTGGTGACCTTCAAAACTCAGCTCGGAGCAGTCCGATGTTTTGGCCACATTTTCCGGTGTTGCCTGACCCAAAGCTTCAGGAATGTGATAAGAAAGTTGAGTTCTGAACCGAGCTGCCGATAGTGAGGTCTCTTTAATTAGGGCATTATCAGAGCCAGGCCTGATTAAAATGTGCTGAAAATAATTGAAAGTTGTACATCTGTTGGAGAACGGGGCCCGCTGGAGGAATCCAGTTGTTGGAGGAGCCCAGCTGGATGAAAGAGACAGGCGAACGAGAAGAGGAAAATTGGGCAGAGGTTTCAAAGCCTCGGCTCCCTACCCCCACACCGCACCCCAGACTTGGCAGAAGTGTCATCGCAGAGCCAAGGTAACGTCTTTCCCACGGTCGGAAGAACCGGCTAGAAAACCAAGAGTTCAACCTTGAGGAGAGCGAAAGCAAGAACATTTCATCCATCCCCGGAAAAAAAAAATAAAAACAACCAAGGGAAAATAATAATAATAATAAAAAGCATACACCCTTTGCCGAATTCCCTCTTGCTGAGGAGCCGGCCGCATGTCGCTGCAGTGGCGGTGGCCGAGCTCCGGCGCTGCCCCGCGGCGAGCGGAGGGAGGCAGCCGCCCCGCAACGCCCGCTCCCCGGGACGCGCCTTCCCCCGGGCTCCCGCAGGACTTCGGAGCACGGGAGCCGGGCCGGGAGGTGCGAGCAGCTCCCTGCAGCCAGGTACCGCCGCCGGCACGGCTCCGCGGGCACACGCACCTGCGTAACGGGGCGCGACCGCAGCCCGCAGGCCTGCCGCTGTCCCAGGGAGATTGCGGGCTGGGGGCTGCGGGGGCTGCCCGCACTCGGCCCTGCTCGGTCTTGTGCGTTAGACGCTCCGCTTCCCTTCGGGGTGCTTAAAAACGGGCCGGCTTTAATCCCCTCGCCCTCCTGGTCACTACCTCTGCGCGGCGCTTAAAAGCCCTCTAAAATCCTTTCAGATCTCTAAACCAAAACCAAAAGGATGCTCCGCGCGACTTCCAGACCTGCTGGCACCGCCGCACGGCACTCCCGGGACTCGCCGCCCGCCCGGCGCGGCCGAGCCTCCTGCGGGTCCCGGGGATGCTGCGCATCTCTGCCGGCCGGGCTGCGGCCCTGCCGCCCCGCTCCGCTCCGCCTTTTCCGACGCCGCAGCCCCGCAGCTCGTCGACGGCAGGGGCAGGGGCCGGGGGCAGCGGGGCCGGGGGCAGCGGGACCGAGATTCCCCTTTGATGTAAACGTCCCCCCGGGCCGCTCGGAGCTCCCGCCTGGCCTCGGCCTCCTCCCTCGCCCCCCGGCCGCCAGGGCGCAAAGGGACAGCCCGAAGCGACCGGCTCCCGCCGGGGCCATCCCCCTCGGCCCGGCCCCACGGCCCCGGGCCGGGCAGTGCGGGGCCGGAGCTCCACGACGCGCAGCTCCGGGGCCGGCGGGAGCAGCGGGAAGCACGGCCCGAAGCTCTGCGGGCTCTGCCTCCCTCGGCGCGGTAGCAGCAGCAGCGGGGAGAAGGAAAGGTGGCCGATAAGCCCCGTCCCTCCTGCGGAGCTGCCCCGAGCCGGCCCCGCAGCCCACGCGAGTTTGGCAGCGCGGTGGCAGAGCGGGGTGCGCGGCGCCGCACAGCTGAGATGCTGAAAAGAAACCAAAAGCCGCCCCTGCGTGCGCAGCTCCGGCCTGGGGAGGACTCGGCGCTGCCGAGGTCAATCCGGCAAGAGGCAGAAGAACGGCCGAGGGCCGCGGCCTCGGGGCACGGCTCCCCCGGCCCTGCCGCCGGCATCTGTCGGGGGACCCGCGTCCACTTCGGGATACGCCGGCCTCGGCCCAGCGAAGCCTGGGGAGGGAAGCCTGGTGCGTGCGGGGAAGCGGCTCGGGGCTCCCGCGGCTCCCCGGAGCCAGGCGGGGAGGTAGCGGACAGGGCCGGTTCGGCCGACCCCGGCCCGGGCCCGCCGTTTGCATCCAGCGAGGCTACGCGGGTGCCCCCGGGGACGGCCCCCGAGGCCGGGGCCCCCGGCAGCGCTGCCCTTACCCTGGTTGCGGATGGCTTGCTGGCTCTCCAAGCAGTTGGGCAGGTAGGGCCCGTTGGGGAACATCCTAGCCTGGCTGGAGGGCGGCTGGCTGGGCGGCGGGGCGCCGAAGGGCCCGTAGCGGCAAGCCCCGGCCGTGCCCGTGAACTGGCCGGAGAAGTGGACGGTGAAAGCGCTCAGGTACTGCTCCTCGTGCGGGTCCGACCCGTTCCAGCTCGGCTCCTGCTTGATGAAGGAGTGCGGCCCCAGCGAGCCGTAGGAGGCCCCCGGGGGGAAGTCCAGGACGGGAGCCCACTGCGCCGCGCTGCTCACCGGCATGGTGCAGTTGCTGTTGCCCGGCAGGGAGGGCACGGAGGGCAGCAGCGCGTTGAGGTCTCGGACGTCGGACCCCATCTGCTCGCAGACCTTCTGCCTGCCGCCGGGCAGCCAGTCTCCCGCCGGGCCGCACTTGTTCCAGGACACCTGGCCCCTGCCTGCCAAGCCGGAGGCCGGCTCCGGCTGCAGGCACCAGGCCGGCGAGCTCAGCCCTTTGGGGGAGGTTTGCTCCGCGACGCAGCTCCCCGGGTCCAGCCCTGCGGGAGCCGGCAGCAGCGACAGGGCGAGGTTGTTCTCCAGGATCGCCTCCGGGGTCGCGCCCGCTCGCAGCGCAGGGCGGTCGGCGTGCGTGCGTGGCTGTGTGTCCGCCCGGCCGTGTGTCCGTCCGTCCTGTCCGTCCGTGCGTACGCGTGCTTGTGGGGGGGGGGGGTTGTGGGGGCACCGCCGCCTCGCACGCCTCACCTCGGATGCCTGCTCGCCCTCAACTTTGCAAAGCTCAAATAGAGGCGGCTGCCGGGGAGGAGGAGTCAGCCACGCCGATCCTCCATTCACACAACCTCCGCCGAGGGGCTGCCCACAGCCCGCTCTGCTGCACCGAGCCAGGCCAGGCACGGGGGGGAGGGGGCCGCGCGAGCTGGGGACGGAGGGGGAGAGGTTACCGGGGGAGAATATATCTCCCCTACACATCACTCCCACCCTTCCTCTGGTGCAAGCGCCACTAAATCTCACCCTAACATCCCTTCGCTTTAGGAGACTTGGCGAGACTGTTAGAGGGATCCAGGTGGCCAGTAAGTACGTGCTGGACGACTTCCCCTGCCAGCTCCCTGCGTGGCCCGGGGGACTCCCGAGGGCGGCGGGGTCGCGGGCCCCGGGGACCGCGTGGAGAAGCCGCCGCCCTTGCAGGATCGAGGGGAAGTGACCCAGCCCGGGCCGGGCGGACCCAGCGAGGGGAAAGTGTCTTTCCAGGTGCCTCTCCCCCTGGGGGAGGAATCCGCGCCTCCCCGAGCTGCTGCGGGCTGGCCGCCCGGCCCCGCTCCGCAACACGCCCCGGGCTGGCCCCTCCAAGCTGCCCTGCGAGAGAGGGAAGGGAGCGGCTGGCCAGGTGGGGAGGTGTGTGTGTAGGGGGGGGGGTCGCAGCGCCACAACTAACGTGCTTTTGGGGGAATTCACCTGGCACTGCTCCCGGGAAGACCTGGACTCTCCCTTCGCTCCCCAGCCTCCTGGACAGCAGCTCCACAGCACGCATCCCGGCCGCGGTGCTGGGAGAGCCCCCGACGGCACCTTATCCATCACCCCCCAGTGAAGCACGGCAGATTTTGGGACGGCCCCGGCAGCCGGGGGGACCACGATCGTTCCCCTCACCCCGAGCGGCTGCCGAGGCAGGCAGCCCCCGCGGGACGCCGCCTGTGCCCACCTCGGCCGGGCAAGTCCCGGTACCCGAGGCAGACGCGGGCCCACCGCCGCCCCCGCGGTGAGCCGCTCTTACCAAACGCGAGAGGACGAGGGATCCTGCCCTTCTCCTCCCTTCGAAACAACTAATTAATAATCAGCCGCGCTGGGGGAAGCATTAGCTCCTAGGAGCACGCGTGGGGCAGCTCCTCGGGGCTGCATTTCGATGCAGCGCGCTCACAAAGCGGAGCGTGCGGAGGAGGAGCGGCAGCAGCGCGCCCCGGGCCGTGCCGCTCCCGGCGCTGCCCGCTGCGGGGCCCGAGGATCGGCCAGCGCCCAGCCAGCGGCTCGCAGCCCCCGCCCCCGGCCCCCAAATGTCCCTGCCGCGGCTCCAGGGGGAGGCTGAAGCTTAGCCCCGAGGCGCGGAGCCTTTACCTGCCGCCTGCACGGATTGCGCCCGCTGGCTTCCCGGTGGCAGTTTACGCCGCGACCTTCCCTTTCCCCCGCGGTGCTAAAGGTTGTCACAGAGCATCGCCGACCTCGAAACGACGTCTTAAAATTCAGACGGTAAAAGCTGCAACAGAATAAATTAAGGCGGCCCGTTATTAGAGGAACCAAGCGCAATTTCATTTTCTCTTTAAACTGCTTAACCAAAACCGTCGGGTTTCGTTATGGGTGAAACGGTTTTAATTTTCACAAACCGTCTTCGGACAAATTGCTTTTAAATCACCCGTTTTGATGTGTCAATAAACCTTGTTGTTACAGGAATTCGCGTGTAATATAACAGCGAAAGATTTGGAGATTATCCGTGCCAATATTAAAGACTGTCTAAGTTTACAGGCTCCGCTGCTTTTTACGAGTACGCACACAACTAAAACAACCTCGGAAGGGGGTCGGTAGCTGCACCCCACACGTAGGGCGGGCAGTGCGCTCCCCTTCGCTCGCCCTGCCGCCCCCCGCGTCTGTTCTGCCCTCCCCGCACCCGCGGGCTCCCCCGGGGGACGGGGGCAAGGTGCAGAAGCGGCATCCCGTTAACCGCCGGCTCTAAAATCGACGAAGTACATGCACACACACACACATGCATACATACAAGTCTTTGGTCAATCTAAGCAGAGTATTTTATTTCACGTGAAAACTAGACCTAGCACAAACAGAAAGTCCTTCCCGCAGCAGAACATTTTTCTAGCTAGCGCGCTTTTCTCTTTTCTTGAAATCACCTAGCTTGCTAAATCTCCCGCGAAGGGAAGGAACAACGTTTTCTCCATCGCTTAGGACTGCGTTCTTCCACCTAGGAAGAAGAGTAGCCGAAGTCCTTCCACATCGTCGCCTTTTTCTCATTCCCCAGAGGAGACAGCCAAGCGCAGAAACAAAAAGTGCCCCTGGCCATCAGCGCATCCTCCCTCCCCGCGGCTCCCGGCAGAGCCCGCAGCGAGAGCAGGGAAAGCAGGGCACGGCTGGGGGGCTCGGGGGTCGCCAGCTCGGCCGGGCACAGCGCCGGGCACCGGCACCTGCCTCCTGCAGGGGCACGGCAGCCTGCCGAGGCACGGAGCGGCCCGGCACGGGCGAGCAAGCCCCGGGGATGTGCCGGGCCAGCCTCGGCAGAGTGGAGCGGAGCACCCCGAGAAGGGGAGCACGGACCCTCCTACCCCGGGCAGGGCAGGAGGCTTTAGGCAAACGGCCGGGGCCGCTTCCCGCAGCCAGTTCCTTGCATCCCGCACCCGGGAGGGATAACACTTCCTCCCCATTGCAGAGCAGGGGCACTTTTCCAGCCGGAGCCACGCACCGGCAGGCCGGGGGACATCGCCCGTGTCCTCCCGGAGGCGCCGACCCCGATCCCAGTCTCCCTCTGGCGTGAATCACCCCGCAGCCGGACTCCCGGCCGTCCCCAGCCCGGCCTCGGTGCCAAAGCCGAAGCACGGAGCGGGGAGAGGGCAGCGCCGGGCAGCAGCGGCTGCTCTGCCGGCTCCCGGCCTAGGCGGGCAGGAACTTTACGCTCTTTCCCCTTCAAACTCGACCCGATCCAAATGTCTGCCGGGCAGCAATCGGGGTGAGTTATTTGTCAAGCTACTCCATAGCTATGGGAATTCCGGACAAACGGTCCATCTTCGACCGTGCTCGAAGGCCGACGCTATGAGAGCAAACAACAGGTATTTCTTGGGCGAGGATTATTCTGCGGGGAGCCCCACTCCATCCCGGGAAACCCGGGCTGGGGAACCTGCTGGGGACTGAGCGTCGCTGAAGCAGCTCCCTGCCGCGGTTAGCGGGCCGGGAATTCTCGCTGCCGCTTTGCTGACCTCCATAACCGATCCCCTCGCGGTAAGAAGCTGGGGGAGACTGGCTTAAACAGAGATAAATCCCCAGCGCTTCCAATCCTGTTCCAGCCGCTCTCGGCACACAGGGGGATCTGTCTCCTTTCACTCAGGGAGCCGATCAGAGTTTGATTATTTAAGTGCCAAAAGCAGCAGAAACAAAGCTGCGGACCATCTCCAGGAGCGCAGAGGGGCTGGGGGAGAGGGGCAGGAACCCGGCACCGCGGGCCCGATCCTGCGCCCCTCGTGGGGCTCCGGGGCTCCGGGCACCGGGGGAGCAGGGAGCTTGCCCCGCCGGGGCGGAGGGGCAGTGGCACGCCGCCCGGCCCCGCTCGCCTCCCCCCGTGGGGCAGCAAGGCGGCTCCGCCGATGCGAAGGAGCGGAGCGGGGACCGGGCAGGACAGGACAGGACAAGGAAGGGAAGGGGCCGCCCCCGCGCCGCCCGGAGCCGTCTCGCAGCGCCCCCCGCGGGCGGGTGTCCCGCTACGGGTCCCGCCGCCGGCCCGGAGAGCCGGTGCCGGGCGGGTGGCCGGGGCTCGGGCCATTATTTTACCGTCAATCTTTGCAGCGCTGGAACTAATTACGGAGGGGATGTGTCTCAATTTGTTCCGCATTAGCCCCGAGCACGTGCAGTTGATGAGCCGAGCCGAGCCGAGCCGGGCCTGACCCCGCACCTGCGGAGCGCCCCGGCACCGCGGAGCGGGGCCCGAGGCTCCCTCGGAGAGCGCCGCTAGGGGCTAGGTAATACACTTAGGTCTTTGCATTATCTCTATTAGTTCCGAAGGCATTAAAATTATTAATTTTGGAGGGAATGAACAAAAAAAAACCTCCAAAGCTTAGCACATTATACAGATGAAGGTGACTGAGATCGAAGGAATTAATTTCTCCCTGGTTGTAGAATGCCAATCCCACTATAAAGGCTTACTTAACTCTAAATGTCGTAATATAGAAGAAAAAGCAGAAACAATACCTGCTACGTGCACAGATCCTAACAATTCTCAGCCTCCTGCAATACTGGCTTTAAATACAGGTGCATACCTGAAATGTAGAACAGACATTTAAAGATTCAGAAGTGGTGGGGAAGAGCCAAGCGAAGTGAACCTGCTGTGCCCATGCACACAGGGCAGCCTTTCTGGAGCTCATGGCTAAGCGAAGGCTGTTTGTAGCTGACACCACAAGCAGCCACAGGTCCCCCAGCTGCAGGGCGTTACAGGGTGGATGCAGAACATGGTGGCTCCTTACCAGTTTCTCCAGTAAACTTCACATGAACATGTTTTGCTAACCACTAACCATGCATGCTTTTGTGTTTATTACGTTTCGACATCATTGTTGAACCACTACACCATAACAAAGCAAAGTCCAAATCTCACTTTCCTCTTGCAAAGCCCCCTTTTTTTTGCAGCACCCATGCACAGAGATATCCTTTCAAACAGCCCTCTTCAGTGGGAAACAAGTGGTGCTCCAGTGAGGCTATTCTGTTTTACTTCAGCTGAGGATCTCAATCCTCTTGATGGGATTTTGTTCTAATCCTACTGACTTCAGAGGAATTCATGTACACAAGCACCTGACTGAGTGTGCTTTAGGGCGAGAATGGTTCCACTGAAATCAGGGCTTAAGGACTGCAGTCCATCAGGGTGTAACACCTTGTACCATGCAGCGGGGAAAGACAAGCATATCCTCTTTGGATATCATCCCATGTCATCCTGGGGATGTCCAGTGACTGCAAAAGAGAAGCAGTGAAGATAATGTGCCTGATGCCTAAAGCAGACGAGGAACAAAAGCTCCTGGGTTCTAGTCAATGCTTTCTGCATCCTCTGGAGAAATAGAACAGGTGATGGTGATTTTGCCAGAACACCATGGGGCTCTAGCAGTATTTGTGGAGTGCCGTGAGACCTTTAGTAAGCAAAGCAACTCATCCGCTTGTTGCACTACACAGCACAGCTCCATGCGATCAGCCAGTGATGCGACGTGTGAGGGGGGTGGCAGTACATGCTGGAGCTGGAGAGCAGCTGCAAGGCGCTGAGCCCCTGCTCCAAGCCCCGTCAGGGAGGCTCCTTCACAGCTGCTTGCCATGGAGCCAAGGCACAGCCCTTTAGCTTCGTTCCTAGCTGAGCATACCCAGTCCTTCACTTAACTGCAGATACATAATGGTACACCTCTCTTTTCTCTCTCTGGACTGTACGTACTGATACATCTGGATTGCAGCAATATACAAAAAAGCAAATAAGCTCATTTTTTTTTTTTTCTTATCTGGAAAAAATCTCATCTGGAAGCAACAGGCAGGAGAAGCGTGTCCCCAACCAAAACAGCAACTTTCCCAGTCCTTTATTTCGAGGCTTCTCATTCAATGTATTTTTTGTTAAGACCAAAGCTTTGCAGCCGTTCCCTCCCTTGTGTATGACACTGCTGCATGCGGTGTCTGGTCTGACTGCAGGGGTGAACGGTCAACTCCGTGACTCCAGTGCCTCAATCCAGGAGAGACCTGCTGCAAGCCATGACAGAAGGTCTGGTGTTCCCTACAGGACTGAGTACAACCCAACTGGGCTGTGCAGGTGCCTGTACAGTTGCCATCTGCATACCACTGCAGGACTTGGCTATTTCCATGCTTGTGACCTTCATTGTTCAGCAGCAGCCTCTGCTGACCTCACTGGGACCTGGACAGGTCTTGCAGAACTCATGCTGAGACTGATGCAGGGACAGTTAGAGATGAGCCTTGCCAGGAGAGGTGCAGGTAGAAAGGAGAGGAGGGAGGGAGCCCATGTGCTGAACTTGCTTTAGAAGTCAATTTTCTTTTTTTTTTTTATGAGACATGGGAGATTCCTTTCCCTTCAGATTTATGGATTTTTGATTCCCCTAAATTCACCTGAGTACTGTTATGACACAGGAACTAAAATCACAAAGAGTGCCATAGCCATTGAGTCACAGACTCTTAAATTGCTCATATCTACGACTTCCTTGTTTTTCCTTCCTATTACACCACAACAGTGCTCGATGAATTACACATTGGAACTAAGACCTGTTTTTGTGATGTCTTAACAAACCTCTCTTGAAATATTTAACATGTTAGTTGAAAAGAAAGAAACACAATAAGGCACAAAGAAACCCTGTTAACTTGTTATTTATGATTTTTAAATGAATCAGTGAAAGGAACAGCTAAATGAGTGTGATTCCTTTCTACAGATTGCACTGTCTTAGATTAATAGCTGTACGGACAGATTTGCAAGTAGCACCATCAAGCTAATCAAGATACTTAAAAAGTTTATGAGCAGTTGCTTAGAAAAAAACAAGATAAAGCCTATGGAAATCTGATACAAGTCAATGGTGCATTTATTCAAAACATAATACTGACTTCAAGTCTCCATAAATCCTTTGCAAATGAAACTTCCATTGTGATCACTGTTCCAGATCTAAATGATTTATTTATTTTTTCTTTGGTAGACATTAGATATATCTCAGAATGCACAAGTTATGCACCTATCGATACAGAGTTAATCGTGCCCCCATGAGATAATACATATTACATTCAAA